ACCATAGCGGAAAATGGTCTTATTTGTATTGTATTATGATTATTATAACTGAATCTTTAGTCATAATAAATTCTTTTTATTCTCATGATACATTATTTTCTTTTTAAATGATTTTTTTTAAGAGGTTTTTGCTATAGGGCACGTGCACTCACCAGACAGAGAGAGAGAGAGAGAGACAGAAAGCAAGAAATCACCACCCCCCCCATGGGAAATGGCCACACCGCAATCCCTTCTCCTCCATTCTCCTCTCAGGATCTTGGGCACACACATATATGTGCCCAGCGTGAGTTTTAAGCCACCGGGTCCAGGATGCGAACCGCGGTCGACTACATGGGAGTCCAGCGACATAGCCATTACGCTAACTGCTGGTCCCTTTCTAAATGATCTTATAATTATTTTATAACTCCTTTCCCCATGGATTGTCTCTTTTTTCAGTAAAATGGCGAAACTGGAGGAACTTGAAGAAATCGATGTCAGTGGGAATAAACTGAAAGCCATCCCAACGACTATCATGAATTGCAGGCGCATGCACACTGTGACTGCTCACTCTAACTGCATCGAAGTCTTCCCCGAGGTGATGCAGCTCCCAGAAATTAAGGTATGTGATTTGATTCCATCAACTCTGAAGTTCCAGTTTAGCAAAGAGGGTTGGTTTTCGTAATTCATCAATGCATACTCAGAATGAAGTCTCCTAGTAATCCTTGTTTCATCCTGTCTAACCAATGGGCTGTTAAACCAGCAAAGCTAAGGAAAACAAAAATAAAAATAAAAACAAAACCAAACAGAAAGCAACGCTGGGCTGGGTGAGTGGGAAACTGTCCTCCTGGGCTCTGTCTCTGACTGGCTGTGTGACCCTCTGTCTCTGACTGGCTGGGTGACCCTCTGTCTCTGACTGGCTGGGTGACCCTCTGTCTCTGACTGGCTGGGTGACCCTCTGTCTCTGACTGGCTGGGTGACCCTCTGTCTCTGACTGGCTGGGTGACCCTCTGTCTCTGACTGGCTGGGTGACCCTCTGTCTCTGACTGGCTGGGTGACCCTCTGTCTCTGACTGGCTGGGTGACCCTCTGTCTCTGACTGGCTGGGTGACCCTCTGTCTCTGACTGGCTGGGTGACCCTCTGTCTCTGACTGGCTGGGTGACCCTCTGTCTCTGACTGGCTGGGTGACCCTCTGTCTCTGACTGGCTGGGTGACCCTCTGTCTCTGACTGGCTGGGTGACCCTCTGTCTCTGACTGGCTGGGTGACCCTCTGTCTCTGACTGGCTGGGTGACCCTCTGTCTCTGACTGGCTGGGTGACCCTCTGTCTCTGACTGGCTGGGTGACCCTCTGTCTCTGACTGGCTGGGTGACCCTCTGTCTCTGACTGGCTGGGTGACCCTCTGTCTCTGACTGGCTGGGTGACCCTCTGTCTCTGACTGGCTGGGTGACCCTCTGTCTCTGACTGGCTGGGTGACCCTCTGTCTCTGACTGGCTGGGTGACCCTCTGTCTCTGACTGGCTGGGTGACCCTCTGTCTCTGACTGGCTGGGTGACCCTCTGTCTCTGACTGGCTGGGTGACCCTCTGTCTCTGACTGGCTGGGTGACCCTCTGTCTCTGACTGGCTGGGTGACCCTCTGTCTCTGACTGGCTGGGTGACCCTCTGTCTCTGACTGGCTGGGTGACCCTCTGTCTCTGACTGGCTGGGTGACCCTCTGTCTCTGACTGGCTGGGTGACCCTCTGTCTCTGACTGGCTGGGTGACCCTCTGTCTCTGACTGGCTGGGTGACCCTCTGTCTCTGACTGGCTGGGTGACCCTCTGTCTCTGACTGGCTGGGTGACCCTCTGTCTCTGACTGGCTGGGTGACCCTCTGTCTCTGACTGGCTGGGTGACCCTCTGTCTCTGACTGGCTGGGTGACCCTCTGTCTCTGACTGGCTGGGTGACCCTCTGTCTCTGACTGGCTGGGTGACCCTCTGTCTCTGACTGGCTGGGTGACCCTCTGTCTCTGACTGGCTGGGTGACCCTCTGTCTCTGACTGGCTGGGTGACCCTCTGTCTCTGACTGGCTGGGTGACCCTCTGTCTCTGACTGGCTGGGTGACCCTCTGTCTCTGACTGGCTGGGTGACCCTCTGTCTCTGACTGGCTGGGTGACCCTCTGTCTCTGACTGGCTGTGTGACTCTCTGTCTCTGACTGGCTGGGGGACTCCCTATCTCTGACTGGCTGTGTGACTCGCTGTCTCTGACTGGCTGGGGGACTCCCTATCTCTGACTGGCTGTGTGACTCGCTGTCTCTGACTGGCTGGGGGACTCCCTATCTCTGACTGGCTGTGTGACTCGCTGTCTCTGACTGGCTGGGGGACTCCCTATCTCTGACTGGCTGTGTGACTCGCTGTCTCTGACTGGCTGGGGGACTCCCTATCTCTGACTGGCTGTGTGACTCGCTGTCTCTGACTGGCTGGGGGACTCCCTATCTCTGACTGGCTGTGTGACTCGCTGTCTCTGACTGGCTGGGGGACTCCCTATCTCTGACTGGCTGTGTGACTCGCTGTCTCTGACTGGCTGGGGGACTCCCTATCTCTGACTGGCTGTGTGACTCGCTGTCTCTGACTGGCTGGGGGACTCCCTATCTCTGACTGGCTGTGTGACTCGCTGTCTCTGACTGGCTGGGGGACTCCCTATCTCTGACTGGCTGTGTGACTCGCTGTCTCTGACTGGCTGGGGGACTCCCTATCTCTGACTGGCTGTGTGACTCGCTGTCTCTGACTGGCTGGGGGACTCCCTATCTCTGACTGGCTGTGTGACTCGCTGTCTCTGACTGGCTGGGGGACTCCCTATCTCTGACTGGCTGTGTGACTCGCTGTCTCTGACTGGCTGGGGGACTCCCTATCTCTGACTGGCTGTGTGACTCGCTGTCTCTGACTGGCTGGGGGACTCCCTATCTCTGACTGGCTGTGTGACTCGCTGTCTCTGACTGGCTGGGGGACTCCCTATCTCTGACTGGCTGTGTGACTCGCTGTCTCTGACTGGCTGGGGGACTCCCTATCTCTGACTGGCTGTGTGACTCGCTGTCTCTGACTGGCTGGGGGACTCCCTATCTCTGACTGGCTGTGTGACTCGCTGTCTCTGACTGGCTGGGGGACTCCCTATCTCTGACTGGCTGTGTGACTCGCTGTCTCTGACTGGCTGGGGGACTCCCTATCTCTGACTGGCTGTGTGACTCGCTGTCTCTGACTGGCTGGGGGACTCCCTATCTCTGACTGGCTGTGTGACTCGCTGTCTCTGACTGGCTGGGGGACTCCCTATCTCTGACTGGCTGTGTGACTCGCTGTCTCTGACTGGCTGGGGGACTCCCTATCTCTGACTGGCTGTGTGACTCGCTGTCTCTGACTGGCTGGGGGACTCCCTATCTCTGACTGGCTGTGTGACTCGCTGTCTCTGACTGGCTGGGGGACTCCCTATCTCTGACTGGCTGTGTGACTCGCTGTCTCTGACTGGCTGGGGGACTCCCTATCTCTGACTGGCTGTGTGACTCGCTGTCTCTGACTGGCTGGGGGACTCCCTATCTCTGACTGGCTGTGTGACTCGCTGTCTCTGACTGGCTGGGGGACTCCCTATCTCTGACTGGCTGTGTGACTCGCTGTCTCTGACTGGCTGGGGGACTCCCTATCTCTGACTGGCTGTGTGACTCGCTGTCTCTGACTGGCTGGGGGACTCCCTATCTCTGACTGGCTGTGTGACTCGCTGTCTCTGACTGGCTGGGGGACTCCCTATCTCTGACTGGCTGTGTGACTCGCTGTCTCTGACTGGCTGGGGGACTCCCTATCTCTGACTGGCTGTGTGACTCGCTGTCTCTGACTGGCTGGGGGACTCCCTATCTCTGACTGGCTGTGTGACTCGCTGTCTCTGACTGGCTGGGGGACTCCCTATCTCTGACTGGCTGTGTGACTCGCTGTCTCTGACTGGCTGGGGGACTCCCTATCTCTGACTGGCTGTGTGACTCGCTGTCTCTGACTGGCTGGGGGACTCCCTATCTCTGACTGGCTGTGTGACTCGCTGTCTCTGACTGGCTGGGGGACTCCCTATCTCTGACTGGCTGTGTGACTCGCTGTCTCTGACTGGCTGGGGGACTCCCTATCTCTGACTGGCTGTGTGACTCGCTGTCTCTGACTGGCTGGGGGACTCCCTATCTCTGACTGGCTGTGTGACTCGCTGTCTCTGACTGGCTGGGGGACTCCCTATCTCTGACTGGCTGTGTGACTCGCTGTCTCTGACTGGCTGGGGGACTCCCTATCTCTGACTGGCTGTGTGACTCGCTGTCTCTGACTGGCTGGGGGACTCCCTATCTCTGACTGGCTGTGTGACTCGCTGTCTCTGACTGGCTGGGGGACTCCCTATCTCTGACTGGCTGTGTGACTCGCTGTCTCTGACTGGCTGGGGGACTCCCTATCTCTGACTGGCTGTGTGACTCGCTGTCTCTGACTGGCTGGGGGACTCCCTATCTCTGACTGGCTGTGTGACTCGCTGTCTCTGACTGGCTGGGGGACTCCCTATCTCTGACTGGCTGTGTGACTCGCTGTCTCTGACTGGCTGGGGGACTCCCTATCTCTGACTGGCTGTGTGACTCGCTGTCTCTGACTGGCTGGGGGACTCCCTATCTCTGACTGGCTGTGTGACTCGCTGTCTCTGACTGGCTGGGGGACTCCCTATCTCTGACTGGCTGTGTGACTCGCTGTCTCTGACTGGCTGGGGGACTCCCTATCTCTGACTGGCTGTGTGACTCGCTGTCTCTGACTGGCTGGGGGACTCCCTATCTCTGACTGGCTGTGTGACTCGCTGTCTCTGACTGGCTGGGGGACTCCCTATCTCTGACTGGCTGTGTGACTCGCTGTCTCTGACTGGCTGGGGGACTCCCTATCTCTGACTGGCTGTGTGACTCGCTGTCTCTGACTGGCTGTGTGACCCTCTGTCTCTGACTGGCTGTGTGACTCTCTATCTCTGACTGGCTGTGTGACCCTCTCTCTCTGA